TAGCCCATTGTGTATCTTTGTGCTTAATTTCAAACAAACAATTTGCAATAGGCTTGTTCCGCTGCCATATACAACAGAATGGCCCGGGGCATGGCCAGGTGGTTAGGGCGCTCGACTCGCAATCTGAGGGTCGCGGGTTCGAATCTCCGTCACACCAAACATGCTCGCCCTTTCAGCCGTGGGGGCATTATGATGTGACGGTCAATCCCACTATTCGTTGGTAAAAGTGTAGCCCAAAAGTCGGCGGTGAGTTGTGATGACTAGCTACCTTCCCTCTAGTCTTACACTGCTAAATTAGGGACGGCTAGCGCAGATAGCCCTCGTGTAGCTTTGCGCGAAATTCAAAAACACACAAACAATACAACAGAGCTTTAAATGGCGGTTCCACATTTTCTCACGAATATATAAATTGTTCAAATCGCATAGTTCATCTGTCTTTAAAACTGGCTGTGATTGATACCACCATCAAATAGGTTATTAGAACAGAAAACAATACTAGAGGGTTTGTTTATTGTTGAATTTCGCGCAAAGTTAGTCGAGGGCTATCTGTTCTAGCCTAGGCATCCCACAGTACTCACAGCCGTAACTTGGGCTAATAAAATCGGATAGGAATTTTTGATCGCAATTCGTAAAAAAACCACCAGTTACCAACTTGTGGGCTATTCTGATCGAAAAGTGGGATTTGAGTACCACTTTTACAACACATCCACGGCCCCAAAGTGCAGAGAGCGATTTTTTTTTTCGTAACAGAGCACTGATCACGGAATATCTGATCCACGGTGCAGCTCGATAACCACTGGGCTGCTCTCGGCCCCATAGACTAAAGCATAAAAACAAGCAGTATTTACTGTAACAGGAGCGGTTTACAGTCTATTCCTGAGCTGTGGTGGTAATTACTTTCTTAACAGATCACGTAAGTGTACTCTAAATTTCAAAATATTGTCTTTAGAAACTACAATGATAATTTTCAATGCTCTTGGCTGAATAAACAACCATAATCAAACAGAAATCTCATATGTTAGGGAGAACACGTGGCAACAGTGTAAACGCCACTACAAGCCCATTAGTTCGGTGTTTTATTTGTATTACAATGTTGTCAAGAAAGATCAACACAGTTAACAAATACATCTTCTAGCGTAAAAAAGAAAAATACACCTTAAAGATTACAATGTTGTCAAGAAAGATCAACACAGTTAACAAATACATCTTCTAGCGTAAAAAAGAAAAATACACCTTAAAGATTACGCAACATTTTTACTTCTACCTCTTTCCTTTTTTTTAAATTCAAAAACAGCTGTTAAAAATTGTAATCTCTCTTGCAGATTAAGCCTCAAAGCGGTTTACTTCTTTTACACTTTTTGCCATTGCTGTAATTCTAACAAAGCAAATCAGTTTGGATTTTTTTTTCTAAGTTAATTAACACCCTTTTTGTTGCTGTTGGGCTTCTTCTCACTTCCAAATCGGAGCACGATTCTTATTTCTTATGTATTGTTTGTTGTAGTGACATCTATTAATATGTGTGGGCAAAAGAAATATATATACACACACACGCACATTCCATGGTGTTATACGTTGAATAAAAGTTGACGGTTTTTCATCTTACTGACATGGTGGATGGACAACACAGTAAGTTTAATATAATCAAAATAATTTTGTTTATAATGCATCGCACAAACAATACTCAACAATAACTTGCACAAAGACAGTAAATCTTTAAAGCATTATGAATGTTAAACCATTGGGCAATTCAGGCATTTTTACGAATTTACTTATAATATATTATATAAATGGCTCTTAGAAAAACTCTCTCAAAAAGATTTTTCATATGTTTCAATATCGATAGATAAATTTACTTAAATTAATGTTTTTAAAAGGAATGTTTTCTACGCTTTTACGACACAACCATGAGCGATTACTTGAGCGGAACAGACAAGTTATTCTTAAAGAGAAGAAAAATGACTTATCCAGTAGTGGCGTCGAGCCTCTAAAAAAAATGGCACGATAATAAAACTTAATAGTTGGCCAACAAAGCTTTATTCTCTGTGTAGGCAGACTTCCTACTTCACACAATAAAATGTTCCTTTCAATAAATTCCTCTACATAACAGGAAAAAAAAGCAATTTAATAATGTTTTACGACATCCTGTTCTTTTCTGAAGTTTTAAATGGATTAATGGACGAATAATTTTACCATAACTGTTTTATACATTAGATTAAAAAAGCAAGTTACATCTAAAATATCTTACTTGATAGGCGTCTTTGATATTCACGGTTTCCTTGGTCCTTGCCACATGGCCAGCTATTCCAACTCCAAAAGGAATGGGGGGAATTTTAGCATCTTCTATTGCTGCTGAGAGTGCATCTTCCAGAACAGAATTTGCTGTTACATCAAAAAGTTTTGCCACAAGATAACGCTGTCCTCTACTCCCTTTAGCAAGGAAAAGACTACTCCTGTCGCTATCAGTCAAGATACAAACGTTGACCAGTATCTTATGGCAAAGCGTGTCAATGTCCAACTCGTTGGCGATGTCCCTAATAAGTTCCATTAACAATTCGTTCTCATCTAAAGTCCTCAACTGGTGCTTTAAAATCACCTTATTCTTCATATCCTGACTCACTTTTCTCTTTCGAGGTCCCGCCAACATGTCTCGAAACAGTTCTGAAGTAACAGAGTTCCGGCCTACGCGCGCCACATGACTATTGGTCAGTGTGAGTTCTTCGTCCTGACCTATAGCTTCTTGAGTTTTCATCAACTCTTGCACCAAATCACGTGGTACATAATTAATAAACCATTCCCTAACAAAGTCTGGGTGGGTGGCTAGATAACTCGACACCATCTTCTCTTTGTCGTCTTCTGACAAATCTTCCTTGCTTTCTTCTGGGGAATCATATAGCTTCTTTTCTTCCACCATCCTAAAATTGATAAACACATTTGGTATCTCAATTACAGTCCGTAAATTACTTGTGTTTAATTAATGTAAATAAAATTATCATACGACACACACACTGTAGACTGTTCTTAAAAGTGTACCACTACAATTTGAATCACTACTTTTAACTATATATTTTTGTCATATAGTCAAATTCACAAAAAATTACTTATTACCACCATTTTTATTTATTGGACTAGTGGTTACCTCCATGGTTATTCATGTATGATATTCTCAGATTAACTGATTTATGCATAAGTATCAGATAGGTCCGCTTTATAATTTATCTAAACGATTGAGAGTCAAGATGAAATAGTATACAACTGGACATATTAGCAAGGTAGACAATAATCTCTACAATATTTCGAATAAAAAAAAAATCAATATAAATACTTATGTAACCTACACCTGCCTTCTTACTGGATCTGTGAATTATTCAACAGTGTCATCTTTCGAGATGAATATCCATTAAACTACTCATGTCGATAACCAAGCAAAACCAACCAAAAGCCAATGCTCTTTACAAAAACAAGTAACCTCAGTTTTACTCATAAGCATGTACGTCACTACGTGACTGGTCATTCTCGTACAAAATACAAAGGCTGTAACCTCTAGTTATCATCTACTCTGCGAGTTCAGGACATTGTTTTCATGTATATATTTCTATCAATGTATGAAGTTGCAGCAACATCCCAGCAGGCAAAGTAGATACAATCTCCTAGAGAGCAACAAAGATACAATTGCAACTAGAACAAAACAATTTCAAAACCACATAGAATTTAACAAAACGATAACAAAACAATATGTAATCCAGTGTCATAATTACACCTTGAATATACATATAAATAGTTATACACTAATTATGAAAGAGTAAAATATAAGAATATTTCGTATAATCACAATTACATACACGTGCTTTTAAGTATAGAGAGGCGGCAAAGACGTAGTACGGTCCCACAGTCATTCGTGTTTGGTACTGCCATATCTTTCTGTTTGTTTTGAATTTCGCGCAAAGCTACACAAGGGCTATCTGCGCTAGCTGTCCCTAATTTAGCAGTGAAAGACTAGAGGGAAGGCAGCTAGTCATCAACACCCACTGCCAACTCTTGGGCTACTCTTTTACCAACGAATAGTGGGATTGACCCTCACTTTATAACGACCCCACGGCTGAAAAGGCGAGCATGTTTGGTGGGACGGGGATTCGAACCCACGACCCTCAGATTCCGAGTCAAGCACCGTAATGCCGAAAACACACCCAATGCCATCACTGGGAAAGGATGTACCCTCTGAAGAAACATCTGACTAGCAATCCCCATTCCATCTTGTCAACCATTAGCTTCTCTTTTGGTGGATCAGCAGAGGTAGAGTAGAAAGCTACTGGGTCACCTACAGACTGGGCTCTTCTGGCATCACCAAAGGCATGGTCATTGAGATGTTTTTTGCTGTTGGTACATCCATGCTCTTAGCAATCATGGGACACTTTCCTATCAAAGGGGGCTACTCAGCCCTTGGAAACTTCAGGGATAACCTAACAATAACTGGCAAGTTCCCTCATGTCTATTTCATTGGCAATCAATATATTTTTATTTATGGGTTCAGCTACAGTAAACAACAGGCCAATTTGAGGAGTCATTGGTTCAACAAGTTAATAAGCTTCTTCACTAAGAGGAAATCCTGGGTGTTCTGGAGGTACATCATTATATTTGTTTCTTCCAGCTGTTGACTTCTGCTGATCAAATAATAACCACACGATGTAGTGTATACCTAACTCAAGTTCTCGAGTATTTCATGTCATCACTAGCGGCCTCAGAATGCGAGGGTCACGACATCCTTTCAGCCATTGGTTTCTCGACCTAACTGTTGATAATTAAGTTTAGGTTGGAAATCATTGTGTATTTCCTTATAATTATTAGTTTCTCAACCTAATGATCGTCCTAGCACATGTAACTGATCAATCTCACCCATATTAGTTGGAATGTTGACTTCAAGTAGTCAAACCAAAATTCAGAGCTGACTTTTGCATCTCTCTCCAGCAATTCCTCGTCTTGCTCATCGTGGACAGCCAGATAAGTATCTTCCAATTGATAAGACTCGAGACAGCATCTTCATTCTCCTCCAACTTGTTGGTCTCATTCTTAGACTTCTGATCAAGCCTGTGAACCAGTGGTTGGTTTGTGATGTACAAAAGCAACTTATTGATGTGTTCCATGCACTTTTTCATGTTTTGCACTTGCTATAACTCGTACTTTACATGGACACCAATTTGTTGGGTATAAGGAACAAACCAGTCCAGCCAGATTCAAGTTACTTCCCTGACACTGGCATGTGCCACAATCACATCACAATTTCCACATTGGAACATCTATCATTTTACCACCTTGTCATAGTACTTCTATCTTTGAACAGTCTATCTTAGTTGCTGTTGGCAAACTCAAGAACATTATGTTCAATGAACAATCTGTAGATCCCTGCCCCATTTCTCCATATGCCGTCATTATGTATGGCAAGTGTTTAACTAAATCAGTTTGGCCAAGATTAATAAACATCCCAAACATCTGCTTGGTAGTCTGTATTATCTATTCTGCGAAACCATCAGACTGGAGGTGGTAAGGTGTGCATCTTCCCATACCTAACACTTTACACAGTAAATAGTTGGCTGTTGAAATTATCTTCCTGATTCATTTAAATTTATTCTGGTGCTCTAAACAATACAATCGAGTTCTCTGCTGACAAATCAGCTATGGACTGTACCAATGTATCGACTAATGGATAAGCCTCGACCAAATCTGCGAAATAATGGATAGCAATAAGCATGTACTGATGTCTTCACTCAGTCTCCAGCAAAAGATTATCGATATCCAGGACTATCCTCAATAGAAAAGACCAAACAGAACAGTTGGAGAGGCATGGATTGGTGATTTATAATAATGGTACAGCAAAACTTCCTGCAATTGTAACTGACCACACAAGTGCCATATGATATGTGTCTGTGCAATGCTCCTCTATTGGTGCTGGTTGGGCTTTACTATGCTGCACTGTATGAAATGTGACACTATGTTGGTGTCTCTGGGTGTCACCTACTGAACAATATTCACACCATGTTCAAACATTGAAAGTTGAATGCAGCCAGAGGAGCTGCCATGAAATGTTAGCACAAATGTGAGTAATACCTTGATGCCCTTGAATTTCTGTGTAATGCAAAGTCTGAAGACTCTCTTGTCATAGATTACCCTGAGAACCACTAGCTGCAGCAAAGTTGGATAACTATTGATTGGTGGTTCATAGCAATAGTGCAGCACACCTTCTTGCACTTGTAACTAACCACAAACATGCTAGTGGTTATGTGTATGCGCTTATGCTTTTCTATTAGTGCTGGTTGAGCTTTACTTTGTAATACTGCAAGAAGAGCTCACACAAGGAAGGGGGTCCTTTAGTTGCTCTTTCCAGAGCACCTGGGGTATTAATCTTGACATCCATATGACCAGGAGAATTTTCTATATCATGGCTTTCCTTTTCTCTAACAGACATGTTTATGACTTCAACTCCCACATTGTGTCCAGGAATAGGGCATTCCACGAAAAAACAGGGTTTCGCCATAAAACTAGTTAGTCCATCTGTATTTCTGTGTGGTGGACATGAGCAATGACATAGTCATATTCTCGCAACATTGCTACCCAACATGCTATCCTCCTTCCAATTTTTTAAAGCTCAATAGCCATTTCAATGAAACATGGCCCATCAAAACGAAGGCACCTACCATAAAAGTAGTGGTGATAGTATTTTATGAAGACCACAACTGCAAGCAGTTTTTTAATTGTACAGTATTTGCATTTGAGAGCTATGATTTATGATTAGCATACATGAGTACGCGTTCTTCTTTGTCCTGCAACTGCAATAACACCATTCAAATTCTGTTGTCACTGTTGGTATCCAACAGGAATTTTCAGCTTTGCCACGAATGTGTTAGCACTGGAGCATCCATAAAGCAGTCTTTAAGGATTGGAATACTAGGTCACATTTTTCATACATTTCAAAGTGAATCTCAGCTTTTATGAGAGCAGACAATGAAGCTGTTATCTTGGAGAAGTTGGTCACAAATCATTGGTAATTCAACATGAAACTCGGAGCATTACTGCTAGCATCAGCTAATTTCATTGTGCTTATCATGCCTATAACATTTCTAGTGTACAGATGGATAGCTGGTCACCCATAATTACAAAACACCAAGACCTCATCCCTCGTCATTCAGATGACAATCTGAACTAACGCTTCCTACTTTCTGGACAGGAAACAATTTATTTCATGTATAGCTTCTATAATTGCATTAAAAGGATATCAACCCAATAGACTTCATCTGCAGTAAACCATGGAACACCACTTGTGTGTATAGATGAAATGTTATTCTTTTCAAGACATACACTCATGCAATCAACTGGACTCAACTTGGCTGGCATAGGATAACTTTTCTATGGTACATCAGCTCACCTGTTTCACAGGAGAAAATGACATATAATTTCTGCAATACATCCATCCTGAGCATACCAATACCAGATACAAGGTTGGATATGACTATCTTCATTATGTGAACGACATTTTCTAAACAAAGCTAAAGATTTACCTCTCTTCTATTGTCTAACCTACCACATTTCACCAGAAAAAATCAGTATACACTTAGCAGAAACTACCAGTCTTCTGGCTGCTCCTCTATTGACTCAGAACTCAATGTCTCCAAGCCTCCAATCAAACTTGTTTAACCACCAAAAGTCTTTCTCATATAATCTTTAAAGATAAGAATATAGTTTTTCTTCGCTTTATTGAAGCTGAATATGTTTTATTTCTAGAAAATTGAAAACTGAGACAGAGATGTTGTTATCCCTTTTCATCATTGGTGTAGCTCAAACTAATAATTTCATAAACAGAGAAAGAAATAAAGTATGGGCCTAATTTGGTTTTATTGTTGTTTTATCAAAAATTGTGTATCCA